CCTTCATGTTTTTCTGTGTTTTATCCTCAGCTACTTTGACACAAAGGCCTCTGCTGTGATGCTCACACCTTTGATAAAGTCTTGGTGTGTCAGCTTCCTTTTTATAGATACAAAAATATGTAAATGTACTGATCTGAATTATAATATTTCTGACTGTCAAAATTTCCCAGATTCAAATCAAAGTGAATCGAATCGAATTAAATCGAATCGAATCGAATTAAATCGAATCGTGGATCGAATCGATTCGGGACCCTGTGAATCGGAATTGAATCGATTCTAGAAATCAGTGACGATACCCAGCCCTAACTTGCACAAACTGGAAGACTTGCATTCAAACATCAGGGAGCGTGATGGAGTGTTGCATCCAGTTAAAGCTTTATATTACACCAAAAATACAGAAGCATCGATGAGAGTTGATAAATATTGGTCAGTATCAGTGCTGATAACGATAGATGTCAATTTATCACAAAGTAGGCTTATTGTTTGCAGTTGAACACCTATTGCACAGGCAAATAGAATCAAACTCTGTCCTCTCTGGACACAGCAGAGACTTTAAATGACACATACATCCAGCCCATTTTCATTAAACCTAAAGTTAAAGTGTAACACTTAAAAACACTTCTGTTTTCTCTCTTTAGACATGCTGATTGATGGACTTAAAGAAAAGTACAGAAGGGTAAAAGAAAGTACTGGTTAAATGCTCAACAGCAATCTAAAGTGGGACAGATTTTTAAAATAAAAACAATATTGATTTCATGCATTTATGAGAGCACAAGCTAAAAAACTTTTGATTGATCAGTTACTTGTTGTTTACTTGTTAACATCAATTTGCAGGATCATCACCCAATGGCGCAGCTGTAATTGGCCCTCAAAATCCAGTTTTTGCAAGAACTGTAGTACAGTCCATGTCATTTAGGTTTTAATAACGGTTTCAGTATAACGGCCAAGATTAGCCATTTGCTGATGCTGGTATTTATAATGACCGATAAATGAAAATTAAAACAGTTAACGAGATAGGAGAAACACTTTTCAGCGAATGTCGGGAGTGTTGATGTTGCATAGAAACTTAAAGAAGTCGAGTCGATATTTTTTTTCTTCTTCCCCCTACTAAGATTACCATGACCTGGATGACTGAGAAGCTACACAGACTTGATGCTGCATAGTTTGTCCACCAGAGGGCACTCTGCAGCATCTTTGGTGGCAGAGAGCAGAGTCAGGCAGAACTTACATAATTGTTTAAACAATAGAGAACAAATGTTATGGAAATCTGTTTGTTTTGTGTGCCTGGGAAAAGGAAAAATTGCTGATATCACATTGTATTTATTTATTTATTTTTTGGCACATTTTCAACATACTCGAGCACCTTGTGTTCTGTAGGGACACATACATACTTGGCAATGAGGGTGGATGTTATAGCCTCTGAATTAAACCATAATATTTCAAGAATATTTGCAATAATGATATCTATGAGAATATAGCTAAAAGTCCCGAGCAACATTTTATCAGTGATTGCAGCTTGCAGGCAGCAGCATTTATTAGTGCAAACAAAATGAAGGGTATTTTCCATCCTTCTTTTCCAATGAGCTGCTGTCACTGATGACAGACTACATACTTCAAAGTGTGAACTATTGTCACGACGTGCCAGGAGCAGCAGCATTATTGTACAATAGCAGTGACACAGTATTGTATCCAGTGACACAGCATCAGTCAAATGTAGGCACAGAAGTAGCCAAGGTAATGTTTTCTCTGAAAACGAAGTAAAAGTTTAACAGAACTGCATAACACAGCTTAACCTTGTAACTTTTTGGGAGCTGCACCATATTGTTACAGAATTAACTTTAAATTAGAAAATAATTGCTAGCTGGGATGTTGCATTTTGGGATGAGCTTTTTAATTAGTTGTTTAAAGCCCTTCTTTTCCACAGTTTGGACTGTCATCATATCATTGACTAAACAATGTAAAATGCATTAGTAACCTCCACCCACTGTTTGCTGTTTCTGTCATATGGAGTGCAACTAGCAAATGCTTCAGCGATGGTTAGTTGAGTCATTTGTTTACATTTGGATCACACATCCCCAGGTGCTAATATCTCTTCCTGGTGTGCAATCACAGCCTGGTTGTACTTGACATGCATTTTGACTTAAGTAAAATGTGTTGTTTATACCTTTTAGCAAAAGCAGTTTGGTTTTTTTTGTTTGTTTGTTTTTGTGCATATTTTGCAAGTATTGTGCTTTGGCGGAGGTTGCTTAAGTACAGTGCTGTGTGACGGTTTTCAGGTACCCTTAATTCTTTTCATATTTTGCTTGGAAAAATGGGAATGGGTGCAGTGATTAATTTGCAATTAATTTGCTTTATCAAAACCTGACAGTACTTTTCTGCATTCAGGTCAGTTCTTGTGTAATTTGGCTGACGTCAGCCTTCTGTGGTTGCTGGTCTTGCTAACTAATGATTTCTCTCACTGATAAAAGAGCCACCTTTA